TTTTTTTTTTTTTTTTTTTTAACAAAGCAAATTTGTCCTGAGTTTAAGCTTGACCAGAAAATGACTGAAAGATAGAAATATGATTGATACGTTGTATATGTATATTGTAATATGATATGTGTAGTGTCACACTGCATGTAAAAAGTAAATACAATCTAAATGCAAAGTACATGCTACTTCTAAGTAAGACATAATCTATTGTTAGAAAGATAGCTGTGTAATTTGTTCACAATTAATCACTTATTTAATAAAACCATATCTCTGCGGCCAGAAAGAAGCTCTCTCGTGTGAATCAGCTTTGTCCTTCCTGCAAGGTAGATTTATGTATGTAACTCTGTGGGATAATCTTTACATGTTGTCATGCTGTGCAGTTCTGGTCTGAATCAGTTCTGCAATTAGCTCCACATGGAGAAAACGTGTTACACAACAGGATACAGAAATCAGAAAGAATGACTTGATTACCAACTATTTTTGTGTTTTGATGCATTTATGTGTGAGGGGTACCTCTCTCTGTTACAACAGAGAAAATGTCATATATTGACTTAAAGATAGATTTCTACATATATACTATATTTTTTAGCCTACAGTTGTTACCTTGATGCTTTCTTCCTGCCTTTGGTTGCCTTATCTGTCTTCCTTCTCTGCTCTTTCCTTTGATCTACCCCCCACTCTCCACTCCTCAGTAAGTGCTACAGGCGAAGTGGCTGGGACAGCCAACCAGTTTTGTTCTCTTCTCCAACAGCCTGTTAGGGTCAGAGGTTAGAGGCCCTCAGACAGTGCTCACTGCTGCCCCCTGGTGCTCAGTATTATCCACAGTAGGAAGCTTTGCAGTGTTTGTGAATGTGTTGAGGCTGTAAAAATTGGAGCCCTGCCAAGACACGACCTGGAGAGAGAAATAATCTAGCCAAGCCTGATTAAATCCCCCAATTCTCCTAATCAGGACATTCAAGGGTATTTAAATGGTCTGAACAAGTCTTTAATTAAATTACAACATTGAAAACTGTACCTTTAAAACCCCTAAAATGGTCTGACTACAAAAGTCAGAAGTCTGTCAAGTAGAGACTATATTAGTGTTATGGACAGATTCTGAACTTAAACTGTTTTATTAAAGTAAAACAATTTAAATAAAGTACCTCCCTTAAATTGGATTTTTAAAGGTCCACTGTGTAACATTCAGCAGAAATTTGGTAAAATGAAAAATAATATTCATAGGTATGT